CCAGTGGTCACCCATTTAGGTACAGAACAGGCTCAACGTTGCTTAATTTAGGTAGTCTTACGAGAACTGGTGTTTCAACGTGATATGGCCGTAAGTCTATCGCTCCAACACATACTCGTGCAGAATAATTTTACTAAACAACTGATCATATTTCTTGAAGGAAATCATAATTTACGTTTCTAATGAAACAATCTAAGACATTCTTCAGAAGAAGAAAACCAAAATCAAACAAATTCTCATTAGATTCATCAAGAATAACCGTTAATTTAAAAAAATATGACACACAAAAATTCATGATCTTCCGATTATAATGTAAAACCGACATATTGTATTGGACTGTCTGCACAGAATTATCTAACAAGCCGTTAGATATGAACACATGTCTAATACATTTAAGAAGACAAATGACGCCTATTATGAAACAAAAACTCTTGTATGCGTTTCGCTCTAATAGACACGGTTCTCCGGAGACAAACAGAAATGCCCAGATTCTAAAGATCTGATTGCATGTCATAAAACAAATCTACCCAGCAGATATCTGCCAACAGCTTCATATAACTATTTGCTTCCAACATGGCTTCTCTGGGAGTTATCTCCCCTGAAGCTCTACAACGGCCTCTCACCAATCATGATTTTCCTTCTTCGTGCTTTTATATGCGTCTTTCTTTCTTTTATGTTTTATTCCGTGTATCTTTTCTTTACTTTTTTTCTTTTATACTTCGTTAATTTCACGTTTCCAATATGTCTGCTGGGAATCATCTCGCTTTAGTTTGTTTATACTTTCATTATTTCTGTTTCCTAAATTCATTTTTTTTTATCTTCACAAAGATATCTCCAGAATTTTCAGTTCTCTCTACGATCACATGATTCTCTCAAAGTCATGGTTTATTGGTATTTAGTGAATTCAGTTTAGTTTGGCATAAGGCCAAAAGTGTTAGTCACTATGTTCGAACCCTTATATAAAATAGATCTGTTGCTAGGAAAGTTGGTTCAGTGTTGATAGCGGCTCGGATAGAGGAATCGGAGAGGTGAGTTCGAATTCCAGTTGAATCCATTACATTCACTTACGTGCTAATACCCTTGGGAAAGGTATGAATCTTCTTCTTCTACCCCATCCCAAGCTAAGGGTAAATAGCAGGACAAACCGGGTTTTATAGCCTTGGGTGGCAGTTAGTCTACGCAGAAAAAAATGGCAACCTACTGCGGGAAAAAATCTACCTTGTCAGTCATGTATCGAAAGATACATGATCGCCTAAGCGTGTATCACTCATGGCACATAACTAAACTGATTCCCCCATGCGTTGAATATTGTTGCTATACATGGTCCGGTGCTGCTGTCACATATTTAGAGATTTTTGATAAAATCCACAGAAGAATCTGCAATATTATTGGTCCTGACCTGGCTCCGGTCACTTTCTCATCGCCGTAATGTAACTTCCCTATGAATTTCTTTAAATACTTTCATAGTAATTGTACTGATGAACTTTCCACTATGGTACCAAGACTTCATGAATTTAAGAGCAGTATTAGATTGGTGGCAAGGTCTCATCAATTCCCTGTTGAATTGATTAGATCCAGCCGTAAGTTCTATGCTGACAGTTTCTTTTCTAGCATTTCTCGCTTGTGGAACCCTCTTCTGGATCTTTCCAGCCAAAAACGTAAATGCAATGTCAATCGTCATCTCCTCTTTTCTTGATTACTCTTCTTTTATTGTTCTTGCTCCTTAATGTTTTCACTTTTTTTCTTATTCTTTCACACTCAGCAAACCCTTGTGTATCAGTGACTTTACTGGGGTGAAATGATTAAAAAAAATCCCAATGAAAAAGGGCATTTAACAACATAGTGTTAGCGACATCGTCCAGGCGACAAACCGTTTTGCATTAGCCTATCTTAGACCATGCCAGTAAAAAACGTAAGATCAAAGGAAACCGTTTTAAATCATAGCTGATAACAAAGAAAGAACTTTTCCCATTCGACGTTTATTGTACCTGTTTTCTTTTTATTCATTTCAAACTAACTGAACCCGCCTTGAAATATTTTCGTTTTCAGGAACATTAAGCTTGCACGAGTAAATACAAAATTTTCTTTCGGATACAAAGTAAGGAACATTAACAAATTTTAATATATTTTCCTTTATTCCAACTTTTTAAAAGTATCTTAAGAGCATAATTTACGTGGATAAATTCGGTATTTATTATATATCGATGTAAATTCTTTATCTCTATTTTTAATCCAACTACGTATGTGACAACGAGTTAACTATCCTCCTTGTCTTCATCATTATATATACTCCTTATCCTCATGACTTTTATTTCTTACTATCTCCTCTTAAATCCATGCTATATACCTCATTCAGTAACTCTCTACACTGAGTGGCTCTCGAGGATTTTATTGAGTGAACTTAAGTAAAAAAAAAAAAAAAAAATCCCAGTAAAGTTGGTTATCATTTCCAGAGCAAAAGATAGCTTTATTTAAAAAAAAAATGCAATTTAATTATAAAAGTCATAAACAATACAATCATTTATAGAGATCACAAAAGTTCTGATTGGAAACGAATAACAAAACACCTATTTAAAAAAAGGGAAGATATTTGTAGTGGAATCTGCAAATGAAATATCATAAAGCAAATAACGCCGGATATATGACTCATGCTGTTAGAGAGAAATCATAAAACCTCACTGTCATATATTTCTGAGATGATATAGAGTTACTATTTACACTATTTGCATTGTTCAGATATATGACACATTGTGTCAGATGGAAATAATATAACCACAAGGCCCAGGGGATAAAATTGGTTTGCAATAATCCAGTGACTTGATCCAAACAGTTGTGAGTTCAATACCTGACGACAGGAGATGTGAACAAAAACTTGAGAGTTGAGTTACTAAAGGGAAATAACTGAAACTGAAACATCCCGAAGAGGCATGGCACGTGGAACTAGAACATTTTAGCTCGGTGGACAGAATAAAAGTTTCGGTTCGATTCCAATCGCATGAAGAAAGCCGGAGCGTATATCGGTCGAAACGTCGTAAATATGACCATTAAGATGAGGACAACAGTTCGAACAACGTAAAGGACAGAGTTTTGCACAATACTTACGCGTATGCACGCATTTATATGCAAACACAGATTGACCGACAACCAACGTTATATATTTCTAATTTTCAATGTTTCGAACAGACTCACTAAAATTTGAGCTTTATATATTAGATAAAGTATTGTCAATAATTATGAATTTTCAACTCGGATTCTTTCATTTAAATTGCAATTGGTTTTGTCATCGCAAAGTCTATTCATTTGTTCAGATTGAGGTAGTGATATTTACCTTAATCTTAAGATTATTGCAACAGTAGCGAGTTCAATCCTTACTAAATTCCTCACATTTGTGAAATTGAGCAGCATACATCTCGTCATGGAATAGGAAGTAAAGTGTGCTCGTGTCATACGCTTTTAATGGTGGAATAAGAAACTGTTACTTTTTTATCATATTAAGCTTCTTCTTCTTCTTCTTCTTCTTCTGCTTCTATGTGCCGTGTCCCTTCAGGGCGTTGGCGATCATGGCTCTCCATAATTTCCTGTCCTTTGTAGCTTTTCCTAAATGTCTTCTTTTCACTTAAGCCTTGTTCTGTCATCCATTTACTCAAGTTCGCTAGTTAGGTTATGCCTTGTTCTGATCAGTTTCTCTTGCTTTCAAACTGTCCTGTGAGTATCAATTATTCTAAGCCCTCTTTCCTCATTATATGTCCTAGAAATTTCAGCTGTCTTTTCCTGGTGTTAATTATTAGTGTCCTTTTCGTAGACATTTTCTTTAAAACTTCATCGTTGCTCTCATGTTCGATTCATGGTATTCTCAACATCCTTCTGTAGAACCACATTTCTGTTGCTTCAAGTCTTTTCTTCATATGTCATATAGAAGGACTGATATTACATAACATTTCAATACCCTTGTCCTTGAAGCTAAGCTTCTTAAATATCTGGGTAATCTCAACACAGAGCAATAGTTAGTGCTTTATTTTTTAGTACTGTATTGAGTTCGATCTTCAATGTCCTTGTACCAGACTACGTATTCTAAACTTGGGAAATAGCGCCGTAAAGCGTATACTATGATCTTTGCAATCCTCAGTACAATTTGTCAGCTAAGTGGATAATTCTAGTCCTCTTCCGCGATGTTAAGAGAAAAAACGTCAGAGGAAGGATGTGACACATTATACATTACCCTTGTAAGTGACACAAACGCTTGACACCTCCATTCAACAAGCGACCGAGAAGAAGCGAGTGGCAGTCAGGTTTCGTTACGGCCTACGTTATCTAAAGCCAAACTGGCTGAACGGAAGTCGAAAAGGAGAAAGAGAAAAAGAGAACAAGAAAGAAAGAAAGAAAGAAAGAAAGAAAGAACGTGAGGGAGAAGGGAAATATCTTGAAATTAGAGAGAGAAAGAGATAGAGAAAGTGAGAGAGGGGGAGAGAGAAAGAGAGAAAGAAATTGGAGAGAATGCGAAAGATATTAGGGAGAGTATGAAGGAAATAAAAGAACAGCATGAAAAGAAGAGGCGAGATTTTGAGCAAGAAAAAAGGAGTGTGAAAAGAATTTGAAGAAAATAGGAAAGAAATGAGAGAGAGAGAGAGAGAGAGAGAGAGAGAGAGAGAGAGTGTGTGTGTGTGTTGAAGAAGGTTCACGAAAGAGATGAAACGAGAGGAGAAACAGTTTGTAAAACGAAGAAAAAAAATAAGTTGAGTGCAGGAGAAACAAGGAGAGAGACAATGAGAGGAAGCGAATAAGGAAAAACCACAAGGGTGGACGAAAATAAATAAAAGAAAAATCCGAAGACCTGTGTGTGTGTGTGTGTGTGTGTGTGTGTGTGTGTGTGTGTGTGAGGGAGGGGGAGAGAGAGAGAGAGAGAGTGTGTGTGTGTGTGAGGGAGAGAGAGAGAGAGAGTGTGTGTGTGTGTGTGTGTGTGAGGGAGAGGGAGAGAGAGAGAGAGAGAGAGAGTGTGTGTGTTACACGTGTAAATAAAAAGGAAAGCAAGAGAGGAAGGCTCCATCTTGAAATAAGAGAGAATGAAAGAAATAAAGGAAAAGAGGCGAGATTGTGAGAAAAAATAGAGAAGGTAAAAAAAACAAAACAAATAAGCGTGGGAGTGAGTAAACGCATAAGAAACAAGTTAATGTTTGGAAGAAATTTAAAAAATAGTTTGAAACAGGCAAGAGAGTGTGTGAAAGAAAAAGAGAGAGCGTGAAAGAAAGTTCCCGAATGAGAAGTAACAAGACGAAAGAAATATAAAAAAACAAAGTTTGGAAAACTGGGAGAAAAAAAAAGTTGAGTTTCAGAGAAAAGTGAAAAAGAAAGACGGAGACAGTGAGACGCGGAAAATAAGGAAAAAGCATAAAAAAGGACGACTAAAAAAAAAAGTAAGTAAAAACAGAGGAAGTGATAAACAGTAATGTCTTCAAATCTATCTAAGTCTTTTTAATTCATTCTGTTCAGTACGAGAGAAAAAAGAAAAAAAATGGAGAAAACAAAGAGAGAGAGAGAGAGAAAGAGAGAGAGAGAGAGAGAGAGAGAGAGAGAGAAAGAAAAATACGTTATACGAGAAAGAAAAAGACACTGAAAAGAGTAAGAAAGAGAAGGAAGGAACTGGAGAAAGAAAGGAGAGCGAACGAAAGAAGAATAAAAGAAAAATAATGAAAAAACAATAACATCAAATATGGCGGCGCTAGAAGACTGAAAAAAAAAAAACCCCAAAAACAAAGTTTGCAACCATAAAAGTTTTTATAACTGAATCGGTTAAATCAGTTTTCCTAAGGTAGAAGGATTACAAGTTCGAATCCAGCTAAGAGTTTATTCCTTATCTACGATTCCTGTGAAATAACAGTACGAGTCCTAGAAAACATTACATTTACTATTTTTGTAGGCTACTAGGTGTTTTTTTAAAGAAGTATCTTGTCTAATGCATCTATGATCGAATTGTTTTTTGTAAACTTTAGAGTAAAACATTCGTAATAAACGCGTAAAAAGTAAATTGTTTTCACTGTACGAAATAGGAAACCTGAATAAATTTTCAGTAAAAATTCGATTGTAATTTTTTTTTTTTCAGTTTTCCCTGCCAAAAAGAAAGAAGGTCTTCCATAATAGAATTTGAAATGATGTTATTTTATTATTTAGGGATTTATTATATCTGGTTGGAATTCATAAAATCTTTATGTTAAGACAAACTGAGGTTTCTCAAGTCCACTGTTATCGCTCTTTCGAGTATTGATGGGGGTTTCCTTCCTAGCCATTTATTTAAAGTAGTGTGGAAAAGCAACGTCTTGATTATGCATTTATTTTCTCTACGAGTTAGATGTGCTATCCATTTTAGTTGTTGCTATTGTTGAAAGTCCCCAAGTGATGTGGTTTCTGTTATTTGATACAGATCTTTATGCTTCTGTAGCGCCAGTCCACGAGGGTCGAAGTTCGCTAAGTCCGATAATTCTTGTTTTCTCCTGACGATGGGCGGCAGGGGAGGGGGTAGGTGTTGACACTGTGGAAAATAGCAATCCAGTTCAGGCAGTGTGGTCGTCTGGGTAAATTACTACTGAGAAACACCGGATTCTAGGTATTTACTCTTTCTTCCCACTAAGACCAGTTGTGACAAGGTCTTTTTTAAGGTGGGGACCCGAACGCGTACACTCAGGCAAGGAACAAAAATTGCCTGCAGCCCCCGCAACCGCTGGCGAGCACCGATCCCTCTCTCTCTGGTGCAATGAGAGAGCGCGACCTCGAGCAGCTGTTATCCAGGGACCTCTCAGTAAAATTTTCCTCAGTTGCAACCCTGTTCTTTGACCGAGTCTCCCCTGAGTACACTTAGCCTAAAGACAGAGATGCAATTGAGAGATGATAAATAAACGTGTTATAAACCAAAGAGCGATTTACACACCAGATTCTATAATTGAAGTGAAAGTTACTTGGTCGGGTATCACCGCCCTAAGAATCATTCAAAATCGTATCTTCATGGCAAGTGTTTTCTCCGATGGCAGTGGCAACGAATAAATGCGCCCTGATACACTGCATGAGCTGAATGGAGACGCTTTTCGGGACATGAAAAAGTCTTCATTGTGTTATTCTGGCGAACACATCTCCCAGATCTCAATCTTATAATAATAATAATAATAATAATAATAATAATATATATATATATATATATATATATATATATATATAAAAGTGAACATAGAAGTCAACACTTAGAGGCGACAGTCTGTTTCATGCTAGATGCAATCGTCAGGCCACGTGTGCTGTTATTTTTTCTCGTCTATTTATATATGTACGGGTCAGTGGCCTGACGATTGCATCTAACACGAAACAGCCTCTAAGTTTTGACTTCTATGTTCACTTTTATATTTACACCCCCCTATCTCTGATATTGAGCACTTTATCCCATAAATATAGCACATCTTAAGACTATATTTCTTCATATATATATATATATATATATATATATATATGTATGTAAGCAAATATATGGATATAGATCCGACAGTATGAAGAAAAATATATGGAAAAACAAAAATCTGAATATGCAAATATGCTGTTTTAATGTTATTTCAATTTCGACGTCAGACGTTTCGGTCTAATAGACCTTCTTCAGGGCATAGTTATTAAAACATAATTAACATTAGACGATATTCAAGTCAACATATGTCCTGAAGAAGGTCTACTAGACTGAAACGTCTGTCGTCGACACTGAAATAACATTAAAACAGCATATTTGCATATTCGGATTTTTGTTTTTCCATATATTTTTTCTTCATATATATATATATATATATATATATATATATATATATATATATATATATATATAGAGAGAGAGAGAGAGAGAGAGAGGTAGAGAGAGATGGAGTGAGTGAAAGATTGGGAAGTTTAACAGTGACAAATGAAAAAAAAATTAAAAAAGTTCATTGTTAATAGAAATGGTGCTTTTAAAATTGATATTCCGACCGTCAGTGACATTTTGTCCATCATCAAAAGCTTACAAAACAGAAGAACCGTAAACGTTTTCCTGATCTTTTCATTTGGGAATCATAAAAGAAAAATGTTTAGCAAAAATTATTTTTATCCTCTTCATTTCTAAAGAAACAAACCAATAAGCAGAGAAGAAATTCTGAAAATATAAATTAGTACAGACGAGGCTTTGGTAAAAAAAATGTACAATCAAGTTTTGAAGTGATAAAGAAGGTAAGTTGATTTTTGTATAATGCCGCGGGAAAAATAGTTCAGTCAATTGTCGGAACTTAAAGATGGCAAAGGTCGGTAAAAAATGTAATAAACGATGAAATGAAAGTCGTTCGGGGGTCATATTTTGATTAGAACTTTCGTCATTCAGTCTACGAATTTAAAAAGCTTGTGCTTACCAGTATTTACATACCAATGGCTACCAAAAATGAATAGCGATTGTTTGTATTATCTACACGATATGAAAATTTGTAGATTATATAACATAAAGCATTTTCATTATTCTATTCAAGTATATTTCTTTTCATATTTTAACTGTTTAAGATGTATTAAAGAAATTAACAACACCTAAAACAAACCTCCCTTGAAAATGTCTAAACAAGTGTCCGAAAGCGCTTGGGACAATGGACAATATGGAAACTTTTTGCTCTCCTTTACTCCCACCAAAGTGAAAAAAATGTAAGAACGCTAGAAAAAATAAATTAAATTTTCCTTGTCTGTCATATTTAATGGAAGATGTTTAAAAGAAAAGTTGGTGCTCAAATATACATACATATATATATATGTATGTATATATATATATATATATATATATATATATATATATATATATATATATATATATATATATATATATATATATATATATATATATATATATATATATATATATATATATATATATATATATATATATATATATATATATATATATATATATATATATATATATATATATACATATATATATATATATACATATATATATATATACATACATACATATATATATACATACATACATATATATATATATATATATATATATATATATATATATATATAAAAGAGTGTTCCAATAACTTGGACAAAATTTTAAATGTGAATTAAGTTTAAGCGTTTAATGATTTTTTTTTTTCTTTCAGAATTAACAACAAGTCTTCGGCAATTTCAACCATGGAAAGAATAACAATCAACCAACGTGTTAAAGTTATCTAAAATGGACGTTCAAACAGAAATGCACTTCGCGATTTTTTTGGTCAGCATAGAATGCAATTGGAAACAATGTAACGTTGTTGTGGAGAGGTTCAATTCTTACGAGCGATGACGAATAGAGGTGTCTGAATTTTAGGCCACATTCTCGTGCACTGTAACCATGTTTTCAGCTGAACGAACACGCAATGGTGTTTTCACCGACCCAGTTTGTTTGAATTTACGAAACATTTTTCCAATTGCACTCTTGAAACTTTAACACGTTATTTGATTGTTAATCTTTCCGTGGTTGACTTAAGTTGTTAAATCTGAAAGAAAAAGAAAAAAAATTATTAGACGCTTAAACTTAATTCACATTTAAAATCGGTCCAAGCTATTGGAACACAATTCATGGTCAAAAAGTTTTTTTTTATTGGCAATTGTGATTGTATTTGTGTAGTGAATTAGGTTTAGAATATGGGCAAAAATCCCCCTTTTCGCCAACGCGAAGGGCCCAAGTTTGGTTCTACGAAATGAATGCTCTTCTGAAGGCGAAATTAGTGCCAAAATAAGATATAGCGAAAGAGTTGTGCAGACTGCTATCGTGAATTTCCAAAATCAGGGACCTTTAGCGACAAGGGGAAAATGTGGATGTAAAAGAAAAAAAAACAGTGCTGGAGAAGACAATTTGCTAAAGTGAATTGCTACATGTTCCTCAACAAAGATACGTTCTACTCTGTTTTCAATTGGCAAAAAAATGTCAGTTCTATGACAAAATAACATCGTCTGAGATTTGACATTGGTCTGAAATCATTCAAAATCATTCGTAAACCTTCCTGCAACTATGAAATCCATGCGTCTGGCATTTGCTAAGTAATATGAAACCTGGACAGCTGGAGATTGGAGCAAAGTTATGTATTCAGATGAATCTGCTCTGCAGTAGTTCGTTATGCATTTTTTTTTCATTGAGTCATTTCAACCCAAGCAAGACAATATAGCCACTAGGACGCACGGGTTTACTTGGGGTGGTAGAGAATGAGAAGACTTTAATGAGAAGTAAGAAGAAAGAACAATAAAAGAACAAGTATCAGAAACACAGGAGATGGCGATTGATGTATTTAAATTGTTGAAGTTTGTGGGTGGCGGGAAACAAGAGACCGGAAGTGATTTCCACAGGCGAGAACTGCGCGGAACATATGGTTACATTTAACTAGTTCAACAGTAAAACAGTGAGACCAAGTCACCAATCTCGTAGCATAATTAAATTCATGCAGTTTCGGCACCAAAGAGGAAATCTTATCAGAACAGTGAAAATATTTGTAGAAAATAAAGAGGTGAGAAAGTGACTGAATTCGATTATTTCCATTCGTTAGAATACGTGATTGGAACATTTTAGCTGTGAAGTTTCGTAAATAGTTGAAGTAATCTTCATAAAACTTAGAGTAGGGTCTAGATAAATGAATATTTAATTATTTTATTATTATTATTATTATTATTATTATCATTTTATATATATATATATATATACATATATATATATATATATATATATATATATATATATATATATATATATATATAATAAAAAGGCTTAAACACTAATATTCCATGGTCATAATTTATTCCATTGGAATCGTAAATACGATCCAATTGATCAGACCTACAAATTCAAAAAGAAAACAGAAAAAAAAATAACTCGGGAAATAAAAATAGAATTTAGAGAGAGTGTAAGTATGAGAGTGTGGGACAAATGTTAGAGCTAAAGACATCTCTCTCTCTCTCTCTCTATATATATATATAAGTAAAAGACAATAGGAAAACTATTATTAGCCGATGTACAATGCGTCGGCTAATAATACAGTTTTCCTATTGTCTTTTACCTTTATGCATATTGTCTTTTTCTACAGGTTAACTCTGAGAAATGTTTCATATATATATATATATATATATATATATATATATATAGATAGATAGATAGATAGATAGATAGATAGATGTGTGTGTGTAAGCAGATATATGGATATAGATCCGACAGTATGAAAAAAAATATATGGAAAAACAAAAATCCGAATATGCTGTTTTAATGTTAATTTAATGTTGATGTCAGACGTTTCGGTCTAGTAGTCCTTCTTCAGGACATAGTTATTAAAACATAATTAACATTCGACTATATTTAATTAAACATGAAAAGACGATGGACATAAGAGTAACACTAATCAAAACAGAATAACTGAATTTTTTTAAGATCAGCGTTCCGTTTCACAATATGATCACGTCGGTGTCACGTGGGCGATGTTGTGAAAACGTATTCCTAAAATAGAGTATATTTTAAGTGAAAAAGAATTTTTTTTTAATCTAAAATTTATAAGTACGTTTGTCGAGCATTAATCTTGCTAGAAAAGGGGATTTATGAGGCAGTCATCATATCTATCTCACGCACGGTGAATACTAAACGCGGCTTCTTTAATATTTCCCGGCCTAGGAAGGTCTTCTATCGTGAATTAGTGGAGAGGCCCGCGAAGGATCCCCTACGAGATATGCTCGGCATGTCGGAGGAGGAGTTTCGCTCCTACTGGTCTTGGGCGTCAGCGGCGGATTACCTCAGTAACCCTGAGTTTTCGCTTAGCTGGCGATTGCCTCGGAATCGGCTGCCTCTCAACGACAAGGCTTTCATATGGGGCTTGGCGGATTTGCCAGACTGTGAACGGTGTGGCCTTGGCTTAGAAGAAACGTCTGCGCACGCCTTCTACCATTTCCCCCAGGTCCGCCCCTTATGGGACCATGTCGGCGAGCTGACGGCTCGTCTCGCTCCCGAACAGCTTGTGTCCATTGATTGCGCATACGCGTGTGACAATGTGTCGCCCCCGTATTCCGGGATGAAACGGATGGTGTTTCTGACGCTGATGGCCACGGCTCGAATGGTGATTTGGACGACGCGAAAGGAGGAAGTCTTGCGAGGCAATCGTCTTTCTCATTCGGATCTAATTCGATTCTTTGAGCATCAGCTCAAGATGAAGATTAGATCGGATGAAAACGATTGCATTCGACAGTCTTTAGCGAAAGGTGGGTAAAAGAAGCGAGCTTGCTTTGTGAACGGGGCTAGCCTTGATTTTTCTCTTCTAGGTCAACCTATTGCACATCGGGATGGCTTCCTGTGGAACCCTCCCTTGGTTAGGTTAGACAAGCTTCAGTGTACCTAGTTAATGTGAGTAAGTGTTGTTCCTGGCCTGCATCCCGGCCGTTCTTTGGTTATGATCCAAGTCGAGATTCCCAACCTCCCCAGTTTGTTTTGACTCCCCCCCACCCTTTCATCTTGACTGGGTCAGTTTTATATTTTCCCATTCCAGCCTAATATTTTATATTTTTTCCCACTCCCTTAGCGAGAGCGTCTCTTGATTTTGTCCCCTGGGCAGAATACAGCGGTCTCTCTGTTTTATGGGTTGGACGGTCCCTACTAACATCAATTATGTTTAGTTTGTATTTGTGTTTATTTTAAGTTTATTATTGGGTTCATTTCCCTCCCCTCTCATTTTATCATTATTAGAATTGTATATATATATCATCATTAAAATTTTTATGGCATGGGACGCGATTTTGGTAGGTCTCCCTTGAGAGCACGTGGTATTATGGTGGTTGAAGGATTGTTTGGTGATGGACGAGTTCTTTTGGTGAATGAGTAAAATGTAATGTACGAATGGGTCGCGAATCTGATTAGCTAGGTATAAGATAGTTAGTGTTGACTAGCCTCTACCCCTCCCCTTTATTGGCCTCGTGCCACAATTTGTACTTTTTGTATGAATAAATATCAGTCTTACTCTTATGTCCATCGTCTTTTCATGTTGACTTGAATATCGTCTAATGTTAATTATGTTTTAATAACTATGTCCTGAAGAAGGTCTACTAGACCGAAACGTCTGACGTCGACATTGAAATAACATTAAAACAGCATAACTGCATATTCGGATTTTTGTTTTGCCATATATTTTTCTTTATATATATATATATATATATATATATATATATATATGGTGGACAAAAAGTAGGTGGACAGTACTTTGAATAGGGTTTGTGTTAGAGTTGTATTATAACTATGGTGTTTGTGTTATATTAAATTTTATAACTAAATTTATTTAAATTTAATGTTTTTGTTCTTTTCAGATAAAGAGAACCCATAATATCAAGCAATTTAAATACTGATTCAAGAAAATGGCAGTTCAAAGGGTATTGGAAGTTTCAAGATGCTGAAACCGTTAGAACAAAATGGTTTGAAACATTTGGCACTCAAGCATCAAAGAGACAAACCATTTACCTCATTCGTGACAAATTTGATGCCATTGGTTCAATTCTTAATGCCCCCAAAATATTTTGCACAGAAGATCATAAGCAACTTGTTGCCGAAGCATTTTTGTCACAGACTCAAAAGGTCCACTAGAAGAGTCTCAGCAGTATTGGGCTTTTTACAAGCCTCTATTTTGTATTAGTATGAAATCTAAAAATAAATCATTTACTGTCAACCTACCTTGGGCTCATCCTATACACACACACACACACACACACACACACACACACACACACACACATATATATATATATATTACTGACACTAATTAGATTACACCAGATTCGCGGCGATGGTGATCTTTTTTGGCAGCAACAGATATTCACACTGTTCGGACTATCATCCTCATCTTTGTTGCCATATTTATCACAACGTTTCAGCCGTTGTACGCTCCGGCCTTCTTCAGCTGGTTGCAATGTCGAACTGATAACTGACATACATTATACATGGCAAGTGGAACTAGAACAGTCTACCCCAGCTAGCGAAATAAAGGATTCAGTTCGACATTCCAACCACCTGAAGAAGGCCGTAGTGTACAACAGCCGAAACGTTGTGATAAATATGGCAACAAAGACGAGGAAGATAGTCCAAACAATGTAAATAGTGTACATAATACCTCATCTCAAAAATATAGACAGATACTAACAGATATTCAGTTATACTATAAGAAAACCTCGTATCTTCGCGTACAACTAACAAAAAACGATGCAAAAATGAAGGATTAGAATATCGTCTGCTTTTACTTTCTTATATTCTTTATCATTTTCATTCACGTTTCTCTGTTTTCAAAACGTTATTTGACCTCATAACGACAACAAACAGGAATGAAAAAGCAGTGCAGATCTCAAAACACACCTCAAACGTAGAATGCAACACCGATTTTACGCTTGCCGTGTGTCAACAGCAATTAATTAAATATTCTCTCAGGGTATTTAAAGTTGATTACAGTCAAATAGCGTTGAAAAACCGGTTGTCGTTTCATCATTGAAGTTAAGCAGTATCGAACCTGGTCAGTATTAGATGGAGTTTAGCTTATAAACAGTGAGTACGGTAAGCTAAAACCGGTTGGCACGGAACTAGCAATCTCATTCCGTAAAAAAAACCCCAAAAAACAAAAAAGAAAACTTACCTGTTACAGAAACCATAAAAGCAATGAGGCGTGTTGTTGAAAGCTGTGATACCATACACAACGAGAGAGAGAGAGAGAGAGAGAGAGAGAGAGAGAGAGAGAGAGAGAGAGAAATTATTCTCTCTCTCTCTCTCTCTCTTTCAATATGGAGTCACAGGTCTCAAGAAGACTACTTATTGCTTCTGTGGTTTTCGTAGCAGAAAGAGGAGGAGGAGGAGGAGGAGAGAGAGAGAAGTGACATTAAATTATTCTCTCTCTCTCTTTCTCTCTTTCAATATGGAGTCACGGGTCTCAAGAACACTACTTATTGCTTCTGTGGTTTTCGTAGCAGAGAGAGAGAGAGAGAGAGAGAGAGAGAGAAAGAGAAGTGACATTAAATTATTCTCTCTCTCTCTTTCTCTCTTTCAATATGGAGTCACAGGTCTCAAGAACACTACTTATTGCTTCTGTGGTTTTCGTAGCAGAAAGAGAGAAAGAGAAAGAGAGAGAGAGAGAGAGAGAGAGAAAGAGAGAGGAGGTTAAATTTCTGTCTGAATTTCTGAGAAGAGATATTATTTATACTCGGGCTAATATATTGTGATTATTACAACATTTTAGCCTGTTGTGCCCTCTGGGCGACGTCAGTTGTTTCTCGTCCCAGTTAATCTTCAGGGAATTTCGAACTGAACACTTTATTCAATCTATGGAGGTGTATATGTTCCCTGTCCAGTGATATCTCGTCCTGTTCTCATTTAGTACAACTCACTTATTGCTGGCATTGTTTCCACTGAGTCTGACCCTGTACTTACCGCCCCAGCTAATAATAGAATTAACTAAGTTGCATATGTGTGGTCCACTGTTCCAGCATTATTGATCATGTTTCAAAGTTTTTCTTGGCTTAGTAGAACTCAGACGGATGGAAATAGGAAACGAGAGGATAGTGTTATGCCAACCTACTATGTGAAAAAACTTACAGGCCTTGAAAAAAAAGCATTTAAAATTCTGGCTTCAAACTGATATCACGCTGATATAAACTGGTACAGGTACGTCACCGTGGTGTCATTGTTTGCAAACATGTTTCTCTATATCAATTACGACTGAATATTGACTTTGAAATTCACTGGGTGTTTCATACTTGCGGTCTTCTTCCACATATAAGTTACTCTTAGTAAATCACCTGTATAAGCTGGTATTGACAGGTATAATTCAGTCCTAATTTTTATTTGTTTTCACCGTATTCTATTAATAGTTTTGCATTCTATGACCGTTAAATAACGAATAGGAATTGAACTAGTATCATGTATCGTTGGGGACATGGACACTGAAAGAAATTAGCATAATTCGAATTTAGTCATATAGTTAGACTCTTCCGTATCCAATTGTATATATGCCATGCAAGTTTCAGTTACATTGTATAGTAATATATAGTTAATATCAGCCCCATTAATTTATTTATGTCAACCGTTTGAGTTTTAGGACGATAGGTAATTATTTTAGAACAGTAGGTAATTATTAATGGATTAAAGGCAAAAACCTATAGTTTATATCGATTTTTTTTTAGTTTCTGGATTTTGAGTTTATAATTACAATTCTTCATCGAAATATATATATATATATATATATATATATATATATATATATATATATATATATAGAGAGAGAGAGAGAGAGAGAGAGAGATATGGGGCAGTAGATCATTGTTCAAACGTATTGTTAAATATAACATAAAATGAATGTCTGCTATGTTTTATTATGAGCCTTTCCAAGTGTCGTATAATGGCTTCAGTGGCAGGAAAAAATAAACACAAAAACTGTCAAATATTTGGGTATTTCTTTATTATATTGGTCGTTGATCTAAGCTTATACCAACTCTGATGATGGCTCATGTGAGCCGAAATCTTAGATCTATATTTATTTGTACGACGCCTGGAAAGGTTCATGATTAAACAATGTAGGCCTTGGAAAAAAAAGGAGAGATTGAGGGCAAGAGGGACAGTGGAAATCAGTGCATATAGATGGTGAAACAGAGTTTGAGAGAAATAACAAAAAGACAAAACTTATTAAAAGCTAAAAAGGCAGGAAGATGTGGAGGGCCATGATCGCCTTCGTCCTGAAGAAACACGACTCATAAAAAGATGATGATATTACATTCCCTTTAGCACAAATGCATTTACGAAAAGCGAATCCGCTATTCTCCACCCAATTACGTGTTAAATAACTGTCTAAAAGAAAGAAACTTTCAAATTCCAAAGCCTAGAAAGGCAACGGGAAACGGTTCCTCTGTCATTCTCTTGTTGCTTCTGTTGTACATCTAGGGATTCTTGTACCGATTCTGACTTGGCAACTCGACTTCAGTCATTTTCTCACCGACCTGACGTGGCTTCCCTCCGTCTTTTTCTACAAATATTTTCATGGCAACTGTTTTGACGATCTCTTTTCCCAGGGCCCCAGACTACATTTAAACGTACAACGAGGTTGACATCTAGTTACCACACTTTTACTGCTGTAACAGCTCAATTCAACTTTCACTTCTATTTCTATAATTTCTTTTTTCGTACTTCCCACCTTTGGGACTCTCTTCCGATTCTTTGCTTCCCTGATAATTGGAAATCTTCATAAATATAAATGCAACGTCAATCGACATCTTCTCAGTCTTCTCTTTTCACTTTCACTCCCTGTAATCCTCTGTGTACTAGTGGCATTACCCTCTAGCTTGGGGGGGGGTGAAATGATTAAAGAAATCACAGATAATAAAGATAACCTGTTCCCTGTCGTGATCCATAACGTCTTGAAAGAACGTGGAATTTTCTTTTTACAGTAAGGTTCACCCTCTACAAGGCCCAGGGTCCACTAGAGATAGAGGGTTACGTTAAGGGATATTTATAAGTCTAAGAGGGAAAGATAACGTTGTCGCGATCGGGGAAACATACTCTTGGGTGTCTGTTCCACAGCACAATGGTTCGCGCGAAGAAGCTGTTTGAGTGGAACTTACTTCTCGCCGATGGAACACAGTGGGAATGTAGGCGGTTTGCTACAATATAAGTGGCATGGCGGGTCCTAAATATGAAAGTTAGACTTGGCGGAACCAAGGAATGTACTTCGTCCGAGCACTTTCCATGGGAGTAGCGATAGAGCAGTGTGAGACTCGCCACATCCCGACTGTCAGAGAGAGAGAGAGAGAGAGAGAGAGAGAGAGAGAGAGAGAGAGAGAGAAGAGAGAGAGAGAGAAAAAATTTTTTTTATCCAACAAGAAGTCGGAGACGCTTTCGAACTCTATCAAGATTGGAAAGTGAGAACTGGGAAGCTCTCGCCCAAATATGGAAACCGTACTCAATTTTGGGCCTGAAATAGAATGTAAAAATATACAATAAAATTAATCAATTAATGCACACCGTCCCATTTTTGCGACGGTGGACATTAGAGTGTTATAGGTAGAAAACTCTAGTTAATACCCCATTTTTAAAAGCTTATAACTAATACCAGATTTTTTTAGAAACTTATAATTAATATTGATTTTTTAAAGCCTATAATTAATACCAGATTTTTATTTCAATTTCTATAATTGATACCGGATTTTACATTGGACATTAATGAGTTAATCACTTGTTGATATTCTTAGTTGATCTCGATCGATTTTTACTTCGAGGTGTGAAACCTACATATAGCGATAATATGGCGGCATATCGCCAGATACCATCTATTTACAATGATAAAAGTCATTTGATGAATTTAGGAATATTATCTTTTTAGTTTGCTGCTGCTCCAGTTTTTTTAGTGAATACTGTAACTTAAAATATATTTTTGGTTCATAAACTAATCATAGTAGTAGGAACTTTGTCTCTCGTTGCATCAATTCACCAAGAAATACGACCAGAAGATCCAGCATGAATCTAATTACTTTGTAGCAGTCTTTACTTAACAAGTCAAATGATAAAACAAAAATTGTTTCATGTTTTTGTTGTTCCTTAATTTTATACTTCTCTATTTTATGTTTTTATTGATCAATTTATTCACCTTTCTCTTCCCTCGTATTATGTGGAGAGGGTTGTAATGAAATGTTCTCGACTCGAATGGGGAAAAAATTATTTCACTTTGTTTTTGTTATATTCGGCTGATTTATTTTAATGCTATGTTCCTTCAGGACGAAGGTAATCTTGGCTCTCCACAGAGTGGTTTCCAGTTGCCTTCTCCGCCGTTTGGAATTCAGTCTTAGACTGGCTGTCATTCAAAGCCAGAGATACCAGTCTAATCTGTATTTAACTCATAAATAGAAATAAAAGTTTATTTACTTGAACCGAAACTCCAGTCTTCCAGCGTGTGTCATTTGCAACAACTACGGCTTTGATACAGCAAATTCAAGCACTTTTAACGTCACTCAAGAATCAATGATTCATTCAATGGGATCCTTAGCCAAGCAGAAGTGGCAGGAGATTTAGCTTCATTCATCTATAGCTTTAAAAACAAAGCTAGCGGGCACGCAAATGTATCTATTTTGATTTACACCATTTTAAACGTCCTTTCTTCCATTTGTAAATTTTCTTTCTTTAATTTTTCTTACGGCTCGTCACGATTTTTCTGTCCTTCTTTCCTTCCATGATTCTTTTCCCTTCTCGAAATTTCCCCCTCGATCGACCAATTTGTTTGTCTTTCTTTTCTCTTTTCTTTTCAAAGGGGAGCCAAAACGAACAAAGGGTTGAACGAATTTAAACTTTATAAAAGACAAAGAAATCAAAAGAAAAACTGCGCATTAATATAAACGAACTGAATCGTTATTTTTGATTGGCAGATTTAATACCATTATTATCTCTTTTTATTATTGGAAGATAAGCCTTGACTGAATAGCTTCCTAAACTGGTTGCATCGGATCGGTCCTTGGCACTGTACCAAAATGCCATGCGCAATATTTTATGCGCCGTAATCTTTCTTTTCCTCTTTTGGTTTTATTTCCATTCTGTTCTCATACCTTTCTGTCCATTCTTCAATTCAGCTTTGCTCTGTCTTTCTATTTAATCCTCATTTCAGTTCACATCACGCTCTATGTCCATTCGTCTTGTGCTTCTCTTGTTCCTTTTTCTTAAATATCTATCTATCTATCTATCTATCTATCTATCTATCTTGGTCATTATCTATCTCTGCAGGTCTATTTATCTAACTGGGTCATTATCTATCTATCTATCTATCTATCTATCTTGGTCATTATCTATCTCTGCAGGTCTATTTATCTAACTGGGTCATTATCTATCTATCTATCTATCTATCTATCTATCTATCTATATCATTATCTATCTCTGCAGGTCATTATCTATTTATCTAACTAGGTCATCTATCTATCTATCTATCTATATCATTATCTATCTCTGCAGGTCATTATCTATTTATCTAACTAGGTCATTATCTATCTATCTATCTATCTATCTATCTATCTATCTATCTATCTATCTATCTATCTATGTCATTATCTCTCTAGGTCATTATCTATCTATCTATCTATCTATCTATCTATCTATCTATCTATCTTGGTCATTATCTATCTATCTATCTATCTATCTATCTATCTATCTTGGTCATTATCTATCTATCTATCTATCTATCTATCTATCTTGATCATTATCTCTCTAGGTCATTATCTATCTATCTATCTATCTATCTATCTATCTATCTATCTATCTAGGTCATTATCTATCTATCTATCTATCTATCTATCTATGTCATTATCTCTCTTGGTCATTATCTATCTATCTATCTATTGTCTGCAACACTCATGGTCAGTTTATATTTATTCTTTTGTACTTATGTATTTTTCTCTGAGCAGGTACCTGTTAAGCTTACCTTAATTTGACTCAAGAGCAAATCAGAGTGATATGAGAGAGAGCATTTTTTTGCCTCCATTCGTCAAAGTGACAATGGCTAGGCTGCTTTGAAAATCGGCACTCGACGTCCTGATTCTTACCAGGGTTCAAACACTTAGCATTGGAGCGAAATAAGTCTTCATTTTCCAGTTTCGATAGAGTCCGAAAGCGCCTCTGCGTTAGCGTGAATGATGAATTATATTCCACTGAACAACCCCTTTCCTACAGACAAAACGTTGCAAGCCTCTCACTGTTCTATCGCTATTTCCATAGGAAGTGTTCGGACGAACTCTATTCCTTTGTTCCTCCAGTTCTGTCCTTCACGGCTTAGACCCCCGTAATGCCGCGCACATTGTAGCAAATCACCCTAATTACCTTCGCATTCCATTGGTGAGATGTAAGTTTCACTCGAGCAGATTCTTCTCACAAGCCACTGCTGTGCGGAACCGACTCCCGTGGATGTTTTCCTGATCGCTATAATCTTGACCTGTTCAGGTCTGGACTTAATTGTTATGTTCCCCGCATTTCAACATAAACTGGGCCTATTAATCTATAAGCCTTGTAATGTTGTATACTCACTCTTCTTCTCCTCGCCGGGCGGCGAAATGTTTTTGGGTCCGGAGATAAAAGAAATCAACAAAGATAATTTTAACTTAACTATTTATTAATCCCGTCGACGTCTACATTTTCTAACTATCCAGTGGGGTCGCTTTCCCCCGACTGGAGATTCGTTCCAGACAGGAAAGGAAACATGTCTACCTTGCTGGACTTGTAAGAACCAACTCACTAAAAATCTTTCTCTATCTATCCTTCTCACGCTGGCACAGCCAATCAAAATCGACTTCCTTGTTTTGTCTTCCATCTGACCTCGGAGGTCAAGCTTAGGAAGTCGGGGCAGCGATATGCTTCCTTGTAGTCTGTTAAACTATTATTTAACAGTAAGTCTTGAGCCTTGTACAGGGTGAAAATCATTGGGATATTTTTTTTTATTTAAACATTACTAAGGATAACTGTTTATGTTCTCAAATATCATCTGTATTTCATGTGCATACATCCCACATATTGTTCAACCTTTGGATGATTGGGGATTTGTAATACAGGGTGTCCCTAAAGTCTGGACACATAGGACATCTCATCAACTATAATTTTCTTCTTACCTCCACAGATTAAACCAGGTTTTGTCGAAAGAACTGACTTTTTTTTTCTGGCGTATGCTAAAGGAGAAGATGAAAATCATAGATGCAACATGCTTGATTGAACGCATAAAGATTGAATGTACCAAAATTGACGAAAATGTGCAGTTGCATCGAGTTCACGTGAATCTTGCAAAGCGCATCAAGATTTGGATCACAAATCATATTGAAGATGTTATTTGTTAATATTCCAGATTATGGGACACCTTGTATTTTATGCAATATAATTTCTTTCTTTCTCCACTGAAGTCTGCTCCAATTAGTGTTTGCCAGATTCTTTTTTATTACTTTTTTTCCAACGTTTCATTTATATCCACGTTCTTCTTTTTCTCTGATTCCGTTACTATCAAACTTCTCTTCCGAAATGTCAAACTATCATTTACTAATCATCTGTTCCTATTACCCTTTCGTCCAACCTGATCCTAACTCCATCTCTTGTTCGGCCTGATCCTAACTCCTTTCTTTAGTCCGGCTTGACTCTCTAATCCAGTTTGTTTCTTTCTCTTCCTCTATTTCTTCTTAGCTCCTATCTTCTTATACTTTCTCTCTATTTCAACTTCCTTTCCTTCTCAATTTCGGTCTGTTCTTATTTCTTCCTTCTCTCTCTCTCTCTATTTCAACCACTTCTTACCGCCTCTTTATTCCTCTCTTTTCCCACTCTCTCTCTCTCCTCCCTATTTCAGCTTGTTTCTCTAATCCTTTCCTACTTTCTTTCGGCCTTACTTTCTCCCTTTTTCTCACTATCTCAACCTGTTCTCTCTTCCTTTTTATTTCGACTTGTTCCACTCACACCTCTATTTCAGCTTATTCCCCTCTCCTTTCACTCTCACTTTAGGTTTGTCCCTATTATTCATCCCCACTCTCTATTCCAGTCTGTTTTACCTCCCCATCCTCTCTCTCTATTTTCAGCTAGTCACTCTCTCCTCCTTCTCTTTCGGTCTATTACTATTTTCCTACATTTCTCAATATTTCAACCTGTTCTTACAGCCTATCGCTTTCTATTTCAGCTTGTCCCTCTCTCCTTCTCTCGTCTCTATTTCAGTTTGTTTTTCCCTCCACTTTCAATTTCAGCCTGTTCTCTCATCGTCCCCCCTCTCTTTTGATCTTTTCCTATCTCCTCTCTTTCTCTTTCTATTTTTTTCTCTTTATTTCAACATCTTCCTTTCTCTCCTTCACTTCTCACGGTCTTTTCTTATCTTTCTTATCTCTCTATTGTAGCTTGTTCCTATTTCCGTTCTTCTCTCTTTAAGCTTCAGAGTGTAACTATCACCTATCTCTCTCCATTCCTCTCTATATATTCCTACCTATTCCTATCACCCGACCCTTCCTCTTTATTTCAGCATTGTTCCTTTCTTTCTCTTTCTAGTTTGGTTTCTTGCCATTCCCACTCCCTCTTTCATTTTCTACCTATCTACTTATACAAAACGCTTAATCAGACACTCTCCGAGCAGTCATTTATGAAGATTAGCTTAATCCAGCACAAGGCCTTGACTTTATCTATAGCCTGCAATCGTTTTTATTTATTTCTAAAACATTTAAACATTCGAGGTCTGTCTAGAAATGGTTCAGTCATTTAAAATTAGCCAGAAGAAAAAATGGCCTACCTGGAGTAATGAGACCTTAGTCCCCTTCAAAGTACTTTGGGATTCCATGTAGCTATTTTAGTTTTCCCTTCTACTTTTCAAAACAGCCTTCAAAGTTCTGTTTTGGGACAGCCATCAGCTGCAGCTTCGCGTTCTTATTAAGAGGACGATGTTTCCTCGAACCTCGTAGAATGGCCCGACAGAATCGTAAACAAAGAATCGTACACAATAAAAGAATCCGCATCACTTGATGACTTTCAACAGCAGCAACAACTAAAATGAATAGCACACGTAACTCGTAGAGAAGTTAATAACATAATCAAGATACTGACGGCCCACATTAATTTAAAGAAAAGGTTAGGAAGGAGAGCTTCATCAATGATTGGAAGAAACATAACAGTTACTGGATTGGGAAACCTATTTTCCTGAAAAAATGTTTAAAGAGAGATATTTTAAAAAATTTTAACCGACAGTATCAATGGCCGTTCGGCCAATGAATGCCGAGTATTTACTTATAATGATAATGGTAAAATTAGCCATTTGCTTACAAGGATTCATTCGGCAGTCATTGACCGAGCAGCCATTACTGCAGTCGGTTGAAATTTATCAAATCTTTCTCTTAAAACAACTTTTCAGGAAATTAGGTTTCTCATGTCCAGTAGCTGTTATCGTTCTTTCCAGTATTCAAGTGGGTTTCCTTCTTAAACTTTTGTTTGCAGTAGTGTGTAATGTCAATATCTTATGTCGTTATTTTCTCTTCGAATTACATGTGAAATCTGTTTTATTTTTTGTTGATGTTGAAAGTCCTCGGGTGATGTGGTTTCTATTATTTGGTACAATTCTTTGTTTATGATTCTGTTACGACTGCCTGCAAGGTTTAAGTGGTCTTCGCCAAGATCCATAGTCTTCACTCGTTCAAAGCCATGTTTAAACATTGATTTTACAAAGCCCTTACATACAGCTTATAGTTTAGATATTTCTGAATGGGTTGGCGCCATACGTGACATACATATTAAAGTCTTGATCTGACGAGGTCATTTAAGAACATGACGAGTTTTCAGGTTAATGTTTAACAACATGTAGCAATTGGCAGTGTTTGGCGAAACTATCCCTAGCGCAGTTTATTCTATGTTTAATTTTCTTATCTTCTATACTAAATTTTTTATAACTGATCTATACACCGAGGCATTTTAAAAGTTTGGTATTTACTAATTCCACATCCTGAATTTTTATAATGGATTCAGAGTATGTGCCATTACTTCTTTCATTCCATTTCCGGAGTATTGTTTCTGTTTTGGGAAGGTTTGTTCTGAGTTCAATTTCTTGAAATACTTGGTAGAGGATGTCGATTTTTTTGTTCAAGATCATTCTTATCCCAACTATTTATAACTATATTTTCAGCATCAGCATCTACATTGGCATCTGGAGGTAAATCAGGATCGCTATTTTCTATTAGTTGATTCGTTTGGGATGTGGTAGAGAATGTTTAAATGATTAGTATCCATCTCTTCACGTCTGTGCTTGTATGTTCGCAGGGTATAGTCGAGGAAGAGAATATATAGACTCATTTTCTCCTCGTTGTACTCCTGATGAGGTCTGAAATGTTTCGGTATTGGGGTCGTTTCCGGTCATTTTAGATTTTGTGAATCGATAAAGTTCCTCTCTTAGATCGATGCATTCAGTAGATTTGGAACTTCGAAGACGCTTTCTAATAAGGCAACGGTTAATATTTCAATTAAACTTCATCTTGTTCACAGTGGCAGAACTCGGTGATGCATTATCTTGCAAAACCAACAAAAAACGCCTAAAACGTGAAAAAGGGAGAGTCCAGGTTTTGAAGATGGATCGACATTTAACAATTTAGTATGCTTATCAAACAATCACTTTTCTGTCTTGGTAAGCAAAAAAATCTTTCTATTTTTATTTATTTATTTATCTCGTAGTATTACTGAGTAAATTGAGGGGGTTCTCAAGGATAAAATACAAATGTGGGTTTGTGTGTCTGTGTGATTTATAGATAGATATAGAGAAGCAAGTGATTGAGATAGGGAGGTATATAAAAATAATAGATTTATAGACATGAACAGTAGATAGATAAATATGAACTGACTTAAAGAAATAGAATATAAAAGACAGGCATACAGATAGATAGATAAATAGATATATAGATAACAATAGTCTGAGATAGATAGATAGATAGATAGATAGATAGATAGATAGATACGAACAGACTTAGATAGATAGATAAATATACAGATACAGATAGACTGAGATAGATAGATAGATAGATAGATACGAATAAACTGAGATCGATACGAATAGACTGAGATAGATAGGTAGATATGAATAAACTGTGATAGATAGATAGATAGATACGAATAGACTGGGATAGATAGATACGAATAGACTGAGATAGATAGATAGATAGATAGATAGATAGATAGATAGATAGATAGATAGATAGATGCGTGTATGTGTGAATGCAATGGATATATAAACGTAATTGGTTTCGTTTGCTTAGTAGTCAATGTATGTACTTGATGAAGAAGGCTTGTTTTAAAACAATACAAAACAGCACTAAATAAAATCATTATAACTGCAAAAGGGAGTGTCGTTGAAAAGAAGCAGTAATGGTACGAAGTAGCAAGTATTATTTAAGAAGAAAGCTTAATAAGAATGATAGTTAATGTGCAGGGAGGGGAGACTTCTTTGAATTGATGTATTGTTGCGAACCTTTTTAATGTTTGTCTTTCTCATTGGCTTATTTATTTTTATTGTAGAGTATGCTCGAAGTGTTATAAATAGCTTAATGAAACTAATTTTTTTAATCAGTCGCTGCAGTTTTTTTTTCTAACAATGAAGGAATGCAGAAGGTGTAAGAAAGTAGAAAAATGAAAAACTAATGCTCAAACTAGCAGCAAGTCAATTATTGAATAACTACAAGGATAAGAAGGTGTTAACAATTGAATAGTCGCAGACGATCGTGGGTGCCAGGTGCTGGCATATATGCGCGTGAGTGTAACTGTGTAAGTTGTTTATGAACGTCCTCTCGGGACTTGACCCTCCAGCATCAATAATAATAAAAAAACAAAAACAAACATTAAATTTTTACATTAGTAGCACATTATGCACCATTCCTTTTCGTAGATTAACTTGTCACTTATCGAAACAGTTAAAATCGTGCACATATCGATCATCACATCACGAAATACAACTAAGGCAAATATTAGTAGATAATATCGCTGTAAGGAAAGACGCAAAATACTCGAAGCTATTACTGTACAATATAAACAACCTGCATTAAGTAAGATATTATTTAACACACGAGACGGTATTTAATGTGTATAAAATATTTATTATGCGTGTAATAATAATAATAATAATAATAATAATAATAATAACAACAACAACAAAAGGGCTATTGAAAGATGCACCACTATCTCTCGTAGATTAACTTGTGACAGGGAAATTCGTGCACATATTGATCATCGCATCACAAACAAATCAAAATACAACTAAATATCACTGTAACGAGAACCGAAAAATACTTGAAGCTGTTACTGTACAAAATAAACAATCACATTAAGATATTCTTTACCATAAGAGACGGTACTTAATGTGTAAATTAAGTATTTATTATGCTGATAATAATAATAATAATAATAATAATAATAATAATAATAACAACAACAACAAAAGAACTATTGAAAGAGAGGTGTTCCTAATTCTAACGTCTATTTTGTAACGTCTACTTTTTAATATTTACTACAACCGTCTCCGTTTGTTCAAATTTATATACCACTAAACAATTATTGTTATAATAATAATAATAATAATAATAATAATAATAATAATAATAAATAATTAGTGCGGGGCATAGAAATGCCTAAGATGGTTTCCAGGTGCACTGTAAGTCCACTAAGTGTAAGAGACTTTTAGTCGTCAGTAAAACATCTCAGAGGGTAAATGATCTCTCTGAGCCTTGGATGACTGTCCATCTAGTGTTGGAAACACGATAAACTTCAACTGGTGAAGGTGTCACGGAAAAAAAAAATAGGGATGGAAAAGAGACTTATATCAGCCAACATTATGAAACAAATTATGAGACAACTTACAAACGTAACGGATCAGGTGAACTTATATTCCGTACGGGGAAGTGTGCAGGTGTCCGAGAAATGCGCAACATTCCCGTGACTAGGATAATAGACATGCCTAAGGATGAAAGACTTAGCATAAAAGTTGCGTGGACAAAAGCTGACAAGAGATTTATGGGAAAGATCTGGAAAGAATGTCAAGCCAGATGAGGACATTGAGCAGTGACTTGCTGATCAGTTTAGTCAGATCAGACTGATCTTCAGCAAAATGTGATTCCAGATAATGACAGGGCAAATTAGAGAAATATCCCAAGCAGCATCTCAAGGTATCACTTTTGTTGCTGGCACACTAGGAAATATTTCCAGCAAAATCTCTGCCAAGAAAAACGCCTTGGGGATACCGTGTATTATTGAGAGTGCACAGGTGATGACACTGCTTGAAAGAGCTCCCGTCGTGCCGAGGGAAATGTTGTGTCACTAAGCTGCGGGTAGGAGATGATCATCATCACCTGGTCAAAACATCGAAGAGTCGGAGAGGATAGGAAATCAAATAATATCAATAATAATACATATACATCATTTGATACACGTTCTTTTTCTCATGCAGTGAAGTTCTGTATAATCGTACTACATATAACGTCACATATACGATACGTTAATCATACTTATTATAAAACCCAGGTTGTGTGTGTGTGTGTGCGTCTGTTCGTTTATATATTGGATCGGATTTCCTACACTTTTCAACCGATTTCAATAAAACTTCGCAGGACTACGTAAAATTACCTTGCGGTGGTTCTGACAGCGCCAAAAATTGGAAAAACGCAATTGCTTTTTGCACGAAATCAATTTGAAAACATGATTAAGAGGCATCGCTGTCGCGAGAATGAAAGGGAGACAACTCATATCGAGTTATACTTATTATAAAACCCAGATTTTTTGTTTGTGTGTGTGTGTGTGTTCGTTTATATATTGGATCGGATTTCCTACATTTTTCAACCGATTTCAACAAAACTTCACTTTTTTTGGCAGGAAAACACAATTGTTTTTGCACGAAATCAATTGGAAAATACGATTAAGAGGCAACGCGAAAACGAAAGGGGGACAACTCATATCGAGTTATACTTATTATTAAAACTAGGTTGTTTGTGTGTGTGTGTGTGTGTGTTCGTTTATATATGGGATCGGATTTCTTACATTTTTCAATCGATTTCAACAAAACTTCACTTTTTTTTGGCTGGCAGTGTTTCTTATTGTCTTGCACAGTTTTTTTCTTTATTTTACATTCAGAATGCTTTAAAAATTCCATTTACAAGACAATTGTTTATAACAAAATTCTATTCAATCGGTAGACTCATAACGATTGAAAACAATGTTTTTGTTTGAGTTTGGATTTGACCAGTTCGTAAAAAAAAAGAATAAAACAAAAAAAAAAAATAATTAAGACATGCGTGTCCGTCAACCTTAAACAATAATCTTTGTCAATTTTACTTTTCAGTCTTTATGATGGTCGATACTTGATCTATCTCTTACTGTTACATCCCCGGGCAACGCCGGACTCTACTGCTAGTCCAAAATAAAAAATAAACTAAAATTCAACGGAGAAAGAAAAAAGAATTTCAAATAAAGCTGCACGAAAAAAAAAGAAGGAAAAATTGAAGAAGGAGGAAAAAAATATAAAAAAGAAAGGATAACGAAGGGAGTAAAAATAAAAAAAAAGGGCAGAAAACTGAACGACTGACCAGACAATGATCAGGTAACTTGGAATGAAAAAAGGAAAAATGCAAAAGAAACCGAAAGAAAAAAGAGATAAAGACAGAATAGAATGTAGAAAGAAAAAAAATAATCAAGAGAAAAAAGAGAATTGCCATCAGAGCATTAGAGAGACTCAAAAACTAATGTCTTTTAACGGAAGTCATGGAAGATAAACGGAAAAAAAGACAAGAGAGAGGAGGATAGGAAAGAAAGAAAAGAAATGCTGGCGTAAACAAAGGCTATGAATCGAAGAGTGAATGGATTTGGTACTACAAAGATGAAGTAGAAAGAATAAGCTTTGTAATTTGTTCTAAAACCGCTGAACGAAAAGAACGCTTTCTGGAACACAAAGAACAAGAAAGAGATAAAAAGAATGAATATATAGAAAGAAAACTAAATTAAACCTCAAAAGAACTTTAAAAATAAGAAAATAATAAAGGTAACTTTTACCCACTTTCCACCCGAGTGGGGATAACAGGGAGGCGGTACTGGAATTCAGACGGAGGCGGAAGACAAATTCATCAAACGCTTCTTAAACGAAGGTGATATTTTTTTGTAAAAAAAAAAAAGAAAAAAAAAGGAGTTTCACAATCCAGGTAACGTATACTTGCAGTTTTGGTGTAAGTATTAGAGTCAACTTTGAGTTACAATACACAAAGTCTATCGCTTCACGGCTCTTTTGGCCTCGCAGCGGAAATTAAACAAAGTTCACTTCTAGTGGAGGGTGAATACTTTCAAAACTGCATTTTACCCACCCCATATAAAAAAAGAAAAACAGTGTCATTCATAGATGCCTGACACCTCCCAAAAAGAGTAATGCCCAGGGAACTAGAAAATAAAATCGGTAATGTGGAGACTCGCGTTAATTGTGATTTTGTGTCAAAGCTACTTGGCTAGGTAGATAAACAATTTAAATTCTCTAAGATACGTGCTGGACTTTCAAGCTGCGTTCAGTTTAACAATTCTAAAAGCATCTGTGGTTATCTTTCATTTTTTTAATCGGCGTCACTCTATGCAAGCCAGTAAAGCCACTAAGACACAAGGGGTTACAGGGTGTAGAAGAATTAGGAACAGAAATATTAATAATGAGCGGTAAGAGGAAAAAGTAATCAGGAGGCCAGTAGACATGGCATTAAAATTTTTGCAGATTAAAGTTGGCTAGAAAAAAATGGAGCCGGAAAGGATTCACACAATCGATAGGTGCGAGAATAAAAACTGTTAGCATAGAATTTACAGTTACATCTGTAAATTGATGAGATCTCGACGCCATTCGATTACTGCGCTTAAATTCATAAAGTCTATGTAACATAGGGAAGAGCTCATCCGAACAATTACTATAAAAGTATTTATAGAAAAGACACAGAGAGACAACATTATGGCGGTGGGAAAGAGACTGAAGACGGGTCACTAGATAAGGACTGATAATATTGCTGATTCTTCTTTAGATTTTATTAAGGAGCTCAAGGTAAATAGCAGGGCACTGGACCATATTTGGCAGCAATATATTAAGTATGGATGAATGGTAGACTTATAGATATGCAAGATAGATTCGGGAGAGAAAAATTCTCTCGTGCGACACAGTGAACCGACCTTTTTAGTAGCTGGCCTAGCAATGGATTCAATATAGTCTTTCCACTTCATGTCAGCTGAGCACGTTAGTCCGAGAAGGCGCAATGGATCACTGTCCCGGAGGTTAGCATCAGCCATGTTGATGGAAGGCAGGGAGATTAATATGATTAATTTGCGTTAATTTGTCAGTGGTTGCCGAAATTTGTATGGGGAGGTAATCCCCGATCACATCCCTAGAGCTCCAGCCCACAGAAATGGTATTAAATCTACTGCACATTTTAAATAACTAATACTTACATTTAGAATCGGAAAGAGATAGCTGGAATTTCTGGGACATATAATGAGACTTGGTAAATTTAACGATATTTAGTCCCCACCTCCCACGAGGGCATCATGTGGTACAAGGTCAGTTTAACGTGGGATCTTCGAGCCCGTAGGCTCGGCCAAAAATATGCCCATTGAACCCGTATAAAATTCCGTTTACCTCCCCGAAAGAGAATCCGGCCTTCGGCGTAGCCTCTTTCGGGTTCCTCCCCGCCCGAAGGCAGAGAGTTCAACCGATCAGCCAGTCGATTGACTGACCAACTCTTGGAAAACACTTGCTAAATTTAACACCACAGCAATATTAAAGGCAAAAATATATATATATATATATATAAAATATATATATATATATATATATATATATATATAAAAGTTTAATACATTTTACCGGATGTTTACACGGTAATACACTGAATTCATTACGTATTCAACGTAATAGGTCGGAACATAATTTCGACTTTATGCGGTTCTGATTAAAAGTTAAAACATTTATTAAGGAAAAATTATATGCAAAGTACCTCAATTTCAGAATACTCTACGGTAAATTTACATCGGCGATTAAGCAGCACATCACTTTTCCTCGCAAAATTACAACTGATAACATATAGGGGAATTAAAAACAATAAAAATAAAAGCGATAGAATATTGAATGAATTAGATACATCTGACATCAAAATTTAGATTTAAAGGCTGGGCGTGCCTGTATCTTTAACGTTTCGATGTAAACTATCATCGGCGTTTATGTATATATTCCCCCTAGTGTTTTTCCCGATTTTGATATAAAAGACTGATTATTAGTCTGAAAAAGTTCCTTTTAGGGTTTGATTGATTTGTTTGCTTTTTTTTTTTTTTTTACTGCTTATCAACCTATTCTGGGTTATTTAAAGCCGTAATATATTTTGGATTATAAGAAAAATTCTTGTTCATCCTAATGGATATATTTTTTTTGTGGTGGAGGGTGGGGGTAACAATGACTATTTTCAGTCCTACATTTCAACCCATAGTTGAGGGAGCGAACGAGAAGAGATATGATTCAAACTTTTTCCAAAGTCGAATTAATTACATTCACTTTAGTGACAGTAATGAATTCGACTAGAATTTGAACTCGGCTCTCCGATTTCTCTAACTGCATTCAAGCATGCATACTTTCATCTTCTGAGAAAATGCTTCATGTAGCCGTTTTTTTTTTTTTTTTTTTACATTTTGTCATTCATTTTACATTTTGATTTTATCAGAAAAAACACTTTTGTCTGATAAAAGTACATTCTATGAACGAAAAACTTCACTAATAAGTTTTTCAAACTTGCCTTTCAGTTGCATATACAGGCAGGGGCACACACATACATACATACATATATATATATATATATATATATATATATATATATATATATATATATATATATATATATATATATATATGACAAAGTGGGCAAAAGCTGTGATGATTGTTCAGCCGATTTACTTTAGTTACGGCCAAACTATATACTCAAAACACACTTTTTTAATCAATTCATCCCAAGCAAGGCGATAATACCACTAAGACGCAAGGGGGCCACTGAGGAGTGTTTCTTTTCTTTTTATGTGCCGTGTCTTTTCAGAACGCAGGCGATCATGGCTCTCCACTTCCTCCTATCCCATGTAGCTCTCAATAAATTTTGTGCCTCTGTCAAATCCGACACACCCCGTTCTGTCGTCCACTTATTTAAGCCCGCTAGGTATGTCATGCGATGCTTTCCTTTGTCTCTGTTTCCCTCTATTCGATCTGTGAATATCATTTTCCAGGCCCTCCTTTCTCATTACGTGTCCCAGAAATTTCATCTGTCTCTTTCTTCTGTATAAGTAGAAGCTTCCTTTTTGTTTGCATTCATTCCAAGACTTTTCATTCTCTTACACTTCCCGGTGTGTTTTGTTAACCAGTTATATTATGACTAACAAAACACACTAGGGAGTGATAGAGAATGAAAAAGACTCTAGAAGGAACCAGAAACCCAATTCTAAACAAAATTTTTCCTGTTCAAAATACCGGGGTGAAGTTTGAACCGGACGATAGGCAAACCTATTTACTCCTATACTAGTATCATATATATATATATATATATATATATATATATATATATATATATATATATATATATATATGTGTGTGTGTGTGTGTGTGTGTGTATATGTATGTATATTAATATTAAATTTATATATATATGTTAATATTAAATTTTTTTTATATATATATATATATATATATATATATATATATATATATATATATGAAAAGTAATGAAAAGTTTGGTAATCCATATGAATAATATCAAGAAGGATGTAATACAGGCAGGGGAGCTCAATGTCAAATCAGAGCAATTATTAATTCAATTTAAATAGAAAACAGACAATATATATATATATATATATATATATATATATATATATATATATATATATATATAATTTCTCATTGCCCTGTCTCCTCGCGGCCATGTATAATCGCATCAACGTAAGCATCACTTTAGTCCGATGAAGTAGTAAAAGATGAAACGCATCAAACTATTTTCCCCCTTTGTCATTGATTTCCTGAAAATTGTTCTTGATATCTAAAATTTGGCATGTCGTTTTCCAAAATACACACAAACACATATATATTGATTTTCTAAGTGTAGCGAAAGTATGGGGCACCCAGTGAGGATCGAACTCACTATTCAGTCATAACTGCTTTAGCGAGAGAATATATATATTGATTGATTTTCTTTTTGAAAGTTTTGAACGCTAGCTACATTTTTAATCATTAAGTTTAAATCTTACAATAACTTATCTACTGTTGGTAAAGTGTCGAATAAATTGCCAAGGGAACTCGGCATATGTTATAAATATAACTGCTACTCACACCCACAAAAAAATAAAAAATAAAAATAGAGATTAAACTTTGAAAATGCGTAAATTAGTATTTAGTTAAAAAAACGGAAGAAAGAAAAATAGGCCGGTCACCTGATAGATCTCATTTATTTATTTATATATATATATTTATATTATTTATATATTTTCCATGTTTTCTTCTTTTTAACCACCCCGTTTCTATATTTAACTTTTTCTTACCATTTTTCTATGTTGTGTTTTTTCTTCTTTCTTTTTTCTTTCTTTTTCCTTCTTTACTTCTGCCATCGTTTTACTTTTTGTTTTTCTATCTTTCTTTCGGACACTTTCATTCTCTCTTATTTTATACTTCTTCTCTCTTTTATTTCCGTCTTTCACTTTTTGTTTTATCATTTTTTTTTCTTTTCTTGTCGCGGTTTTCTGTTCTTATTTCTTTTTTTTTTTCTTCCTCCTTTCCTTTTTCTCTCCTTCGTTGTCTCTGTATTTCCTCTCAACATCCTTCACTTCCACCATCTTTTTTTCCATCTTTCTCTCTTTTTATAATTCTTTCATTCTCTTTTTTCATTCTTTTTTCATTTCATCTTTCTCTCTTTTCATACTTCGTTCTTTCAATCTTTCTCTCTTTTTATCCTTCATTCTTTTCATCTTTGTTTATGTACTTCTTTCTTTCAATCTTTCTCTTTTCCTACTTCTTCCTTTCCATCTTTCTCTACATTTATCTTTCGTTCTTTACAGCTTTTTCTCTTTTCATCCTTCTTTGTTTCCATCATTCTCTATTTTTTTAATCTTTCTTTCTTTACACTTTTCTCTATTTTTCTTTTTCTTTCTTTCCATCTTTCTCCCTTTTCATCCTTCTTTTTTCAATCTTTCTTTCCATCTTTCTTTTCTTCCTTATTTCTTTTCTTCTTTTCATCTTTTTCTCTTTTTATCCTTCTTTTTAACCTTTCATTCTTTATTGTTTTATTTGCTTTATGTCTTCTCGTTTATCATTCTTTCTTTCTTTCTTTCTTTCTTTCTTTCTTTCTTTCTTTCTTTCTTTCAGTCGAATGTTACGTGTACAGATTCATTTTGTCCAAATTGCGCTTTAAGTCTTATCTCAAAGTTCGTTCCCACCTCTCCCTACCCTGACCAACAGACCACCAGAAGGAAATAGCCCACAGCATATCTATTTATCTCACTTTAGTACAGAAAACTTCTCACGACTCGAGACACGTTCCACATAGAGGTTTACATTCTTAAAAAATTAATATCCCTAACCTTGTTAAAAAGAAATTTTGTTTATTCCTTTATTTTGATGTCTTGTGAAATGAAAGCCTATTCATTCTGTAGTGAAATACGTGAGATATAGGTGCTTTTTTTTAATAAACAAATATTAAGTTAATATTCGTTTTTTCTTATTCATGTAAATAGAAGCGTTCGTGTGTTTCCAAGGGTTTGGTTTTTAAATTAGTAAAATCTCGGAATTGACATAGCAAAAAAGGTCTTTAGTTTTATTTCGAATCTGACATATATCGCATTCTCATGAGAATCACCAGAGTCAGCTAAAATTAAATGCAAAGAAAAACAGAACGAAAGCATTCATTGATCAGAGCACTAAAATATTATTCACTCTTATTTTAGAACATTTATATATATATATATATATATATATATATATATATATATATATAATTGAGAGAGAGAGAGAGGTTTATTTCATTTTATATATATATTTAAAACGTTATATATATATATATATATATATATATATATATATATATATATATATATATATATATCAACAGACACATATATATGTGCATTGATAGCTTCGCGTCCTAATAAACATCAGAATGGGCGGGGGATTCGGGGGTATTTTAGTCAGACCGATAACATTTTAGTACTTCTCATATATATATATATTGCTCTCACTGTCATTCTCTGTAACACCTCGAGTGCTAGTGGTACTCCAGCCTTGCTTGGGGCGATTTGCTTAATATATATATATATATATATATATATATATATATATATATTTTTAAGCAATCAATATATATATATATATGTATTTTAAGCAATAATATATATATATATATATATATATATATATATATATATATATATGTATTTTAAGCAAATATATATATATATATATATATATATATAAGCAAATGGGAGTGTCAATAGCACGCAAGGGGTTACAGAGTGTGAAAGTAAGATTAAAGAGGAGTGTCTGGGAAAAGTATAACGAGAAAGACAGGATCTGGGTATGTATGCATATACATACCTATATATATATATATATATATATATATATATATATATATATATATATATATATATATATATATATATACACACACACATATATATATATATATATACATACCTATTTACACACACAAACACACACACACATATATATATATATATATATATATATATATATATATATATATATATATATATATATTAGGAAATAGACTAAGTCCGAAAATTATTTTAATATTATTTCTGTTTATACGTTGTTTTTAAATATACCATTATTTAAGTAAATGGTCTGTTTATATTAAACAGTATTAATTACATTTAATTTGTAGAAAATATGTGTCCTCCAACGAGGAAGCGAACCTACATCCTGCACGGAACCCTCATTTAGCGGTCCGAGAAGGATTGTGGGAAATTTGATTAAAAACAGTAATTTGACCTTACTAAGCATACGCTTCTTATTTAGCTAAATGGTATATAGCACCTCCAGCCATGACGGTTCCGTGTAGGGTTCAGGTTTGATTCCTTTCGGAGGATACATATTTTCTATGAAATTTCTCGAACATTCATGTCGGTAGATGTAATTAATACTGTTTATTATAAACAGACCATTTACTTAGATATTTATTTCATATTTTTATATCTATAAAAATAACGTATAAACAGATATATATATATATATATATATATATATATATATATATATATTACTTCAAACTTTCTTATAGTGGATGCTTCGTATTTGAAATAATTTTTTTTTATTTATTAAACAATGTATTAGTTTTATCAGCCTGCACATTCAAGAAATCTTAGTAAAAAACAAGTCTAGAATGTGCATGCCGATAAACGTTATATACACTGTTTAATAAATAAAGATGGCGCGTCTATTTCAAATACTGAGTATCCACTATAATAACATTTGAAGTAATAAAAACAACAGCTTAAAAATAAATCCATTAAATATATATATATATATATATATATATATATATATATATATATATATATATATATAGGTCCGTGCTCCTTTAGGGTACAAGGGGGACTTACACGTACTTACACACCTAGCATTATATATGTCTAGAGCCTGAACGAGTTCCTTTATTTTCAGGTGAGTTTAGAATTCAGAGTTTTCCTTTTAGACATAGTTACCTTAGCAACACTAAAGAACCCAATCTGTTATTATTTACGGAGGTTTGAATTTAGGGTTTTCTTTCTCTTAGACTGGGTACCGAGTGTGTACGTAGCGGTTATTCGTGTGGAAAGTGGAAACTGAGTTCAAATTCCGGTCGAGGCGGTTAGGTTCCCTTTCGCACAATACCCTTTGGAAAGGTAATAGTAGGGTAGAATGGGTTCTCTAGCTTCGATTGGCAAACATTTTAGGGAAACTCCGAATTCATAAGGTTTTGGGTGTTAGGTAGCAGCTTTACCGCATAAAACCCTACTTACTTTGGAAACCACAGCAATAACACCAAGCGTGGGTAAGCTGTGGCCTTATACCCCACAGGCAGTTTAAAGTTTCAAGCGACTGAATGACCGAGACTGATTGCCACCCAAGGCAAGAGAGCATATTATTTAAGCCATAACTGGGGGAAGATGAATTCATGCCTTTTCCAAAAGCAATATTGATACGGAAACCAGAATAACAACACTTAGCGTGTTCAATCCCTGGCCCAATATTTCACAAGGAGACTACAGCTTCAACGATCCGGGACTGACTGTGTTGGTTCAAGTCCTGCTTGTAATGATTATTTATTGCTCAAAACTGAACAAATTTGGCACAAGGCCGAAGAGGAAGTGAGGTGAGACTGGTGAACATTAACTATTCTACACCTAGCTAATCAGATTCATGATCCATTCATCCATTACAATTTGCTGATTGACAACAAGAACACATCCATCGCCATTCAACCCGACATATACCACAATACTACATACTTACAGGGAACTTACAAAAAACATATGACATAAAAATTCCATAATATCCAAAATGTTCTTTTTCTTCTTTTTTCCCATAAAAATATCTAAATATCCCTGTTTGTAAATGACAGCAAAACCCCTCCTTAACTTTATAGAAAAATTATACTGATGCCTACTGGGATTTCTTTCTAATCAATAAAATGAACCACTTCTTGATCTCATCCGCCATATTTTTTGTTCTTTCTTTTCTTGAAGTCAGAATGCTACAATCACTTGACAGAATCCATTTTGCATGTTAACATCTTTTTTTGTTAACTGATTGCCTTGTTTAGTTTTGTATTGCATATATATTGTTTGCTTAGTATCAGTTTACCCTATTCCCTTTCTATTGTTATTGTTTATTGGAAACTTTGTGAATTCTGTTTGTTTGGCATTTTTGCCAATAACACTTGGCCATGGCCAATTTCTCTAAAAGCTGCCGCCCAGAGAAAGAGATCCGTTTTTATTACTATTTAACCTATAGCTGGTGGAAAATGAATTCATGCCTTTTCCAAGTGTATTAGTGCAAAATGAGCGAAAGAGACAATTTCAGAATTAGACATCAGCCTGCCGATGTCATTTTACGCGTAAAAAACTTTTACGTGACCTTGTGGGTGGGTGTGTCGTATTTCCCACCCCACAGACGTAATGTCGGAAGCCTTTTGCTACTCTGTCGATACTTCCATGTTCTAACAAGCCCCATTCTTTAGTACCACCACCTCAAACCTTTACAGCCAATACTCGCCTTGCAGTATCAGGGGTTGAATTACCTTCATTTCCTACATATTCCTTTAGTGAGGCGGATGTACCCCACTGAAAAAACCACTCCCTGAAACCGCCACTTTTTCAGACAGACCACTGTGTGGATGCTTTTCAGAACAATACAGTCTTAGCCTCTTCAAGTTTAGAGTCAACCTTTATCTTTTCTACAAATCCTCATAATGTACGATTATTTCCTTCTCTTACGTCCACCTATGTCTATCGTTCTCTTGAGTGCTATTGTGTAAAGCTCTAAATTGGGTGGCTCTTGTGGCTTGATTTGGGTGACTATTTATAACTCGTTATCCATCCCCGATATCCTTGTAATCTTCTCTGCTTATGTCCTCCTAAGTTCATATCACACAAATCATTCAGTAACCCTGTACCTTGAGTAGCTCTTCGGCCTTGTGGTGGGTGAACTTTAGTAAAAAAGAAAAAAAGATAATCGTTACGTTAACTACACGTCCATATGAGGTTTAACAGCAGACAACTGGATTCTCAGATCTGCCTCAGCATTCAATCGATTATGAAATGATATACAAAGCTGTAGGAAGTTTTAAAATCTTGCTGTCACTTGTTCTCCGGCGATAACAATAAGCGTCTATTTACTTGGAAAGCAATCATAATATACTTTAGATTACTTTTTCATCTCTTTCTTTTTTTTACCACTCAACGCAGATGATAAACTTTCAGCAAGCAAATAAAAACGCGAAATCTGAAACGGCGAAACGTCCTGAAATAGTTTCTTGGAACAATAACAAAAAAGAAAACATGTTCCTAAACCTAACACCTTCAAACATTTCGGTTGTAGAAGAGTCTGGTAGTGGAGTAAAGATAGTCAATTCTTGGTTACTCACAATGCTTTGCTCCGAATGCGTCCCTTAACCTTATCATCTGACCTTGCGTTTCCTTTTAGTGTCAAGAGATAGTGTCAGAATGTTTAACTTCACTTTCGGACAAACTAATTGTCAAGGCAAGGGTGAGAGTGAATGTCAATGTGTTCTTATTTGGCACGTTGAATATTCTGCCCAGACTCACACAATCGCACTAAATATATCGTATGTACTACCCAGAAATTCGGGGAATCTGAACAGCGCGCGTGAAAACAAATGCCACAAAGGCT